TGGTAATGGCGGCGACGGCGGCGATTGCTGGAGAGAGGGAGACGGCTCGAGGAGGGGAAAAGTTGTGGTGGCGTGCAGCGTGCTTCTGCGGTGCTTGGGCCTCCTTTTTATAGGCAGACATGGAGGAAGACAGCGGTGGGGAGAGCTCGAGCGCAACGTCAATGGCGGCCGCGCTCGGTGCGCCCGGAGAGCGGCTCGTGACTGGGAATGAGCGGATGAGGGTGGAGCGGGCGTCTGCGCGTTCGTCTGTGTCGCGCAGGGCTTGGTCTGCGTGGCGGACGTGGGAGCTGGAGCTTGGTCCGCGGCCGCGCGTCGATGACAGAGGACCCGGAGGAGGCGACCGGAGGAAGGGGAAGGGCCCGACACGCGGGCCCGGACGGTCAGCGAGAGGAGCTTCGACTGACAGGCGGGGCCCGATGAGCAGCGAGAGGGAGGAGGTGGGGCGCGGCTTGGGCTGGCTCCTTGCACGGAGTTGGGCCGAGTGGAGGCCCAGGGAAGAGATGCAGGCCGGGACGGCACTGCTGTTGGGCTTCGGGATTGAGGGAAATGGGGCTGGGCCTTCGGGCCAAAACTGAGGGAGGGAGGGTTTTCCTTTTTATTTTTTTTATTTGAAAGACATTTCAAAAGCATTTGAAGTCATTTTGAATTTTGGATCCAAACCACTCAACACAATAAATTATATACACCAGCATGAATGCAGAATCATGTTGCTACATCCTATGATGAATTTTAATAAAAAAATATTATTTTCCTATGTTTTCATGAGCACAAAAATACAAAACTAAATCATTAACTATATTTCAAAGGATGCAAATTTTAAGGTGTTACAGAAACATACGTGCATACGCCTTCCACTGGTGTATTCTTGAGTGTACTAAATTTCAAAGACAATATCATCTCTCTTATTATTCATTTCTTATTTATATGGATTTTGGTCATATATATATTATTTACGTAATATTGCAAATATTATAGGTGAGCCAAAAACTGTGTCAACAAAGAATCCACCTAGGACACATGACGTGTGGACATTCATGAGACTAGGAGCTGACGTGGATGGAAAGAGTCCACCTAGGACACATGACGTGTGGACTAGCAACCACGTAGGATAACATGATATTTTTAAAAAAATTATAATAGTTCTATATTTTATGACAATTAAATATTGTCATCGATATGTCATCACAAAGCTCATATAGAGTATACTATGATGATGTTTATGACGAAGACACAGCTTGGTCATAAACAGCTGTCATCCTGAGAATAGTCGTCATAAACAATCCATGTTTATGACGAATAGGTGCTCTATCATCTGGCAGTCGTCATAGAAGCCCAGATTTCTTGTAGATATCCTTGTCTCAAGATCTTATGTTTGATTCAATTTGGGTTTTCCTCTCCCAGTTCCCCTCTGTTGTGCTTTTGATGGATTTCTTGATCCACTGTGTGTGAGGGTGTTTTGGTTGGATGGATATGTGCTGGGACCTCTAAGCAACATATCTACCAAATAGATTTCGCGGAATCCTCATGAGCATGAAGATCTAATTTTTCCCTATTTTGGAGAAAACCCGTTTTCAGAAATGAATTTTGAGATCATGGTTGATTTTGTGGTTTCTAGGTGTTGATGCTCTGAGGATATACTCTCAACACCCCTAGGAACACCTATGCAAAGTTTGAGTTCAACCGGAGTTGATTTGAATTAGTTTGGATCTTTGAATCAAATTTTTCGAGGTGAAGTTCATCCAGACCGGACAAGTCCAGTGTGAATATCGGACATGTCTAGTATCCAAACCTTGGAGTTTTGAGCTGAAATTTGGTGAGTTGTTACCTTTTATGGTGTTGTGAGCTTATGTTTTAGATTTCATAATTTTTGGACACCGTTTGATAGGATTTTTTACTTTTTCTCCCAGTGACTCGTGCTCCTCGTTCATACCAGACAGGTCTAGTATGCACACCGGACCGGTCCACTTTGAAATTTGTTTTTGAGCTTTTCGATGGTCTTGGTCGATTAGCTTCCATATCTTCTCTCCGCTGTGTTCTCTGAGGTTTCTTGAGTGCATCTAGTCACTAGTTGGCCTCTGTGAACTCATTTTGGAGAGTTTTAGGCTCATTTTAGAGAGTTTTGGTTTGTGAGCGTTTCATTGGATGGTGAGCCAAAGTTGTAAAGAAAATTTAATTTGTCTCCCGTTCATCGCCCTCCCTCTGGTCGCCTACTTGGTCCTTCAATTGGATTAGAGCAAGTTAAGGATCAATCCAACTTAATCAGTTCTTGATCCATGAAAGCAACAATGGAGCGTGGAAGTGGCAAAGCTCCGTATCGGACAAATTACCCATACTGGAAGATCTCTAGAGCATCAACTCTTGTGTTTGGGACATTTTCTTGGATTTGGACTAGGTGGTCCTAGGTGCTCATATTGGTCAAGAGAAGATTGACCAACACGATGCCAATAGTAAGGCTAGAAATGCTTTATTCTCGTGTCTCTCGATTGAGTTTGAGCAGGTTTCTAATCTTGATACATCTCACGAGATCTGTTCTACCCTCGAGAGATATCATGAGGGCTCTTCTCTTGTCGAAACCAGACTCTTTGAGATGCATCATTAAGAATATGAGAATTTCTTGTAGTTGCCTAGAGAGTCTATTGATCTGATGTTTAACCGATTTTAGTCGATTGTGAACAAGATTAGGGCAAACAAGGCTCAGCTACCTTATGATGATCATGGGAGGGCCCTAAAACTGTTACATGGCGTAGATCAGAGGGTGTAGGAAGTAAAGGTTGTTGTAATCACTGATTCCCCCAACGATGAGACTCCCACTATTGATGAGTTGTTCGGCAAGGTCAAGTCCACCGGGATTGACCTCTAATCTAGAGCCAAAATAGAGAACCCATCTATGCCAACATGGATGTTGTGTCTAGTCTTGGTGGATCTTCGGCTAACCCCTCACTTATTTGCTTTGCTTTGTCTTCTTTTATGTCTATCATTGAGGAGCAGGTTAAGGCGCTTGACTACGATGAGCTTGTGTTGGTCGTCAACAAGATCAAGTGGTTCCATGACAACCGCAAGAATCGACGACATGGTGGACAAAAGGAGGACTACAACTATGGAGACCCCAACCACTTCATCGCTAACTGCCCAAGATGAAGGGCAAGTATGACTCTGGAAAGCGGAAGGACAAACACGAGTACACCTCTGGTAAGCACAAGTCTAGGAGTAGGAGGATGAGCGCTCAAGCAGAAGGACGTCAAGAATGTTAAGACTCAAGAGCGTGCCTTCCTCAGAAACAAGTACGGATCCCAAAACCAAATCACCTATGAAACCCTTTGGACACACTTCCTGACATCCCTGAAGAAACCCTTCAAAAAGCTCAACTAGCACCTCTAAGAGCAAACCATAACCACAGGAGAGTGAACCAACAACCCATGAGAGATGTGAGGTTCTGTTGTGAGTATTGCCACAGGGATGGTCACCTAGCTGAGTTTTGCTTTTGGAGGAAGAGGGATGAAAGGCGTGAGTTTGAGATGAAGAACTGGAATATGTACAACGCTCACCATGGTGTACATGCTTCGCCTATTCATAGGCGTGCAACTAGACCTAGATGCCTTAGGTTCTAGGCCCCAATGGTGGTCATGCCCGACAGGCTCCAAGCCATGTTCAATATGAATATGGACCCCGTGGTAGTGGCTTTGTGTCTCACACTTTCCCTGTCGTGGTGATCGCCTTCCCCTTACGAGACATTTTATGTTTGGTGTTTTCTCTAACCCTGAACAGATGGGACAACACCAGTATGCTTCTCAGTTTACTAACCCCAGTGTTGTGTCGTTTGCTCATCCTATATCTTTCTATTGAGTAGGTTGGAGGCCTAGAGTGACATATGGCTCATTGACTCCGGATGTTCGTGCCACATTATCAGAAGTTCCAAATGGTTCTCCAGCCTCAACCCTATGCATGGTACGGAATACATCACATTTGGGGATAACAACAAAGGTAAGGTAGTCACTCATGGGGCCATCAAGGTTAATGAGAGCTTCATTCTCAAAGATGTTGCTTTGGTTGAGAATCTTCATTTCAATCTTCTCTCGGTTTCACAACTTCTTGAGGATGGGTTTGAGGTGTGTTTTAATTAAGAAGGGCTTGTCGTGTGTTTTGGACTCTTGAGGAAACTTTATTTGCCAGATTTCTCCTTTCAGTCGTGTTTCGTGTTGATTTCTCAAAATCCTTTGGCCCTTCTCAGTGTCTTGTGGATGGATCTTCTTCTGAGCTTTGGAAGTGGCATAGGAGGTTTGGAAATTTGAGCTTTGATCTACTTGCTAAACTCAGTTTACTTTGTCTCATCCAAGGATTGCCCAAGTTAAGATTTGAGAAAGGTCTTGTGTGCGACCCATGTCGTCATGAGAAGATGGTTGCTGCTTCTCACCCACTTATGAACAAGGTTATGACCAAGCGACCCAACCTTTAGTCATGGTTGGAACCACCAACCAGGACTAAAGGTCCCTTCTAGGTCAGCCTATGGCTCTAGCTAGCCGTTGGACCCGGGACTAAAGCCGACTTTAGTTCCGAACCCAAGGGCAACCGGGACTAAAGCCCAAAACCGTTGCTCAACTCTCTACTAGTGAACACATACTATAATCTTGACGTGCAATTATTTTACGAACAAAGAAGATAAAAAGAAACAAATGATGCACCAAAATAAACCAATTCATGACGTAGATTCACATTCATAGCGATCATTGCCTCAGGTGATCTCTTATCCAAGTTCATTTGGTGTATGGTGTTTATGTCGATCATATCATGCATAACGCATTGATCGGGAAAAAAAATCATGCATAGTATGCGTCGACATTGAGACCATCATCTTCCTGCACGGCTGCACCTCACTGCATATCCTGCAGATTATTGTATTATATCACTCGAACGATAGACACGCGCGCTCATACGTGTACGTTGTGTGGATCCAAAACATGAACACGGCTCCTCCTCGATGGTTATAGCTCCTCGGCTGAGCATCAGTTAGTTTGTCTGGCGCTCTTGGTGACCTCGGCAAGCGTCTTGTCAGTGTGGCGGATGAGATTGTACGCCCACGCTCCGGCCGCCGCCCCGGCGAACGGCCCGAAGATGTACACCCACAGAGACCTGTACTTGTTCCCCACCAGCGCCGGCCCGATGCTTCTCGCCGGGTTCATCGACGCTCCAGACACTGGCCTGTCCATCGCGATCAGAAACGAGAAAGTTCAAATCTAACGAAACGCATGCATGCCGGTGGTGTTTTGTTGCACAACCTATACTAGCTAGTTAACTGATGAGAGCAGTAAGCAAGCAGTGACATACGCACCCAGCAAACAGCGCGTTGAGTATGATGGTTCCGCCCACCGCAAGCCCAGCCATCTGCCCGACCTGCACAGCAGAAGCGTCCATCATCATCAGTTCGATGCGATCAGTATATAAGTATATGTGTTGCGAGCATGGATGGCTTTGTTATTATTATACTATATGTATTACCGCTCGGTCGTCGGTGGCCACGGCCATGATCACGAACATGAGGTAGAAGGTGATGAAGAACTCCAACACGAGCGACTGGATGTTGGAACCGCCGTCTGCATGCACCGTCACCGAGGCGCGCAGGTGCTGCCCGCTGAACATCAGCCGCAGCACCAGGCTCGCCATCGTCGCGGCCACCGTCTGCACCAGCATGTACGCCGGGACCTGCGCTGCGCATGTGCATATGATCAACATGCGACCGATCGAAATGTACCAGCAGCTATGGCTAATAATCAATGTCGTCGCATGACATGCCTTCCTCCAGGGGAACCGGCCAGAGATTGCGAAGCCGACGGTGACGGCGGGGTTGATGTGCGCGCCGGAGACGTGTCCAACGGCATAGATCATGGCCATGACGGTCATCCCCCACACCACGGCGATGCCTGGGAACGTGGCCTTACTGTTCATGTCGTCCACCGTGATAACCCCGCAGCCGGCGAAGATCAGGAAGAACGTTGCAAAGAACTCCGCAATGAGCTGGCCGATGGCGAAATAAGTGCAGAGAAATCTAGTCAGGGAATGCATATGCAACGAGACACACTGCTAGCCAGCTAGCTAGGTATATACGGAAACAGAATATATATATTCCGTATCCCGAGAGAGAGAGAGAGAGAGAGAAACACAACGATGATTATCATCACCTGCTGAATGAAAGAAACTGAGGCCGACATGCCGCAGAGAGCATCGTCGTCAGCCTCTGCCTCAGCAGCAGGCTGCGGCTCGTCGATGGCGTACGCTTCCGACTTGTCCTTCCTCCCTAACTCCACGGACGCCTCGAACACCGACCCGTTGGTGTAGGAGTCGTCTTCTCGCCTTGCCATCTTTCTCTCTTCTGCTAAACCCTAAACGACGTGAACAGCAGGAGAATTGGCAGAGAGAATCGAAGCAGGGACGGAATCACTGCTGCTCGATCGAGCGAAACACTGCTTATATATCAGCAAGGAGTTGACGGGACAGCGGTCGCTGTTCATTCCATATGATCTCTGCTGAGCTTGTTTTGCTCACCATGCCCTGTCTCTTCCCTTCCTTCTTCGGATGCTCCGAGAGTTATTTCGATGTCTACTTTAATAATCATCGGAAATCCGGTGTTGAACCAGAAACTGGACATATACAAGAATCAGGCGATATGAAATATGGCCAGAGGTGACAAAAAATGAACCGGGAATTCCTAGGGTAGGAAGCCCAACAAACACGACATACCGACAACGGGCAATCAGACTGTTCGTTTCGGCTTATATGATCGTGGATTATAAGCTGGAACAATATTTTCCTCTCACACCAAACCAGTCAGTAGTACTTTTGCCTTATAATCCACGATCGTTTCAGCCGAAACGAACAAGCTAAATGTCAACAAAGGTTTCCTAAGTTGTCCGTCTCTTTCATTTAGAAATGAGAGCCATGTTCAAAAATTATTTCTGTACTAGGTGTTACATCACTACCACGTGTGTACCAACGGTAGCAAACTTGTTTGTGAAAGTGACTTTTAAATGCCTGTAGGCAGCAACAGACAATAAAAATCATGAATGCATTGACAGTTCCAACGAATTCATCGGATTTTCATATGCAAGATGAACTCTCTTGATTTCCGGAATAGGCAGATTTAGTACGAACACGTGGTGATCTATGACGATTTGTTTACATCATAAATCATGAAAATTTCGTCATACCAATGAAATATAGAGTGTTTGTGTGATGAAAACCTATTTGTCATAGATCATGCGTGTTAAACCATGCTTTATTACGTAAGCATGTTTTTTCACCATAGATTTTATAATGATCCTTACTGAGTCATAAATTTGTAACACTTGGTTTTCGTCACTATCCAATCCAAAAAAAGTCACTAAATGCCTTGAGAACTATTAGCAGCATTTGAAGTGTATGAAATAGAGCAGGTCCTAAGCCTTTAAGGATGGCCTTATACACAAGAGCAGCAAGTCCTAAGGAGGTCTTAAGCTCAAAAATCTTAGGATCAGGAGCTTGAGGCGTAGGCTCAGCAAATAAAGAAATCATGAGAGTGAAAGTGAGAGATTTGGGGACATAGGAGGATACACTAGTATAGAAAGAGTTTCTATTAGCGACACTTTTTAAATTTCATAGGGGCCGTTTTGGAACCGACAATGCGAAAGGCTAGTGAAAATAGAGAGTTCTACCAGCATCGCCTGTGTAAATCCATTTAAACTGGCGGTAGTCATAAGCCAACCACTTGTGTAAATAGATTTACACTAACGACAAACTTGAGCCAATTGCCTGAGTAAATATTTTACACAAGCAGTTTATATAACACAACCACTTGTCGGTATATGACTAGGATGGGGTGGGATGAGCCTGCAAAGGAAGAAACCCAATTCGGATAGGGTACATCAACTATTTGGAAGATGAGATATATAGGCTTAGAAGCCAAGCAAATCGTGTTGATCTACTCGGATCCGATAGGATCTCCCTGAAACAAACTAGAAAACTGTAGGTCTATGTCATGCGGCATCCTATCTATAACCCTACCCCAGACAATATAAGGGGAGGTAGAGGCAACCCATTTGTAGACTTCACATGCACCGCTGGGAACCCTTGACAAACTCATCAATGCCCTCTGTAAACCCAAGCATATGACATATGAGAAGCATTCTCCACTGGACACAGGGTACTCCATACCCAAACTAGTATAAATTTGTGTCTCATGTTTTATCCCCCTGATTCCCTGCACACAAAACATTGATTACTTGACGAACGGTAAATCCTACGACACTTGGCGTGCCAGGTAGGGGAACTTTATGCACAGATTACTTTCAAGTGCTTCAAATGGAAATCATCTCCAGCATCGATAATTGTGACACCTTTTCTTCAGGCACCATGATCTCCTTCAGCAGCTTGGATTATATTGTGGATCAACTTGGTGATCTGCATCTACAAGATCCCGAGCAAATCATGTAGGAGGAGGTGTCGCACCCCCTCTACATGTTCCTCGCCGGCAGGGGGACGTCGTGGCTGCTAATGCACCTGCACTCGCACTTCACATGGATCTTCATCTCCCGGACCTCTTCATCAAGTACGGTCGTGAACATGTCCTCGACCGAGCCATTGACTTCCTGGTAAGATCCCTTTCATCGAGATCATACATAGCCGAGAATGAGTTACCGCATGACATCCTCACTAGGTTCCCCATGGGCCTAAGGAATGTGGCTGCTACATACCAGCATGCGCTTGCTATGAAGTTTGCACCTAAAAGCCCTAGCGCTCGCAACTCAAGCTTCATGGACATGGCAAGTACGTCTCGATGATCTAGAAAGCCTAGACATAGATATCTAAAATGTGACTTGCTCTCAGATCAACAACATGGTTGGGTCCTACCCAATAGAGTTCTCGGACTCCGACGTTGCAAGTGAGATGAGCCATTACCCCTCAAAGGATTACTTCATGGCAGAGTCAGATTTCAACGGCCACCAGGACAATGTGGTCATCTAGTCAGCGACAGCAGGAAACACCAAGAACACCCCTCAACATAGCCCCAGCCATGTTGATATATATTGGATCACCCTCCTAGAGCTCAATGCCCTAGGCCGAGGTCGAGACAATTGAACAACATCAACATCGACTCCTATAGTGGCTCAACTAACTCAAGGACGAATTATGTGGTAGAACCGCCTGGAATAACACACTTTCGGAGGAGCTTGTCTTCCACTAGACACTAAGCACCCCGAAAGTGGACTATACCGGATAGTTCCATCGAGCACACCCCAAGGGAGAACTCAAAACGATCCACGTTTTACATCCAGAATCCAATAATGAGTACGAGCTTACAATACTTAGTCCATTTCATACAACCTAGAGTCTTGAAAATTATTTATTATAATACCAGAGTTCAAAGTGCGATAATTAAACAACAAAAATGTAATAATCATCTAGCGGAAACGATACACGGATCCATCTGTGCCCACCAGAAAAATCCTCCACACAAGTGCTAACTCCTCAAGCTGCACCTGCAATAGGGTAAAATAAACCCTAAGTACACAATGTACTCGCAATACTTACCCGACTAGTGGGAATAGTTTTCCGACTCGCAAGGAACATGATAGGCAATATGGTCTGCTTACAAAAAAGCATTAGTAAAAGTACGTCGTTAGGGTCAAGTTTTATTAGCAATTATGATTACTTAATTAACTAACCATTCACCTGTTCTAATTTTCAGAAAGGGTTGAGCAATCAGAACCATTTCACCATCTTTCATCTTTCAGTTTTTACTACAGTGCTAGACCATAGCCAAGTCGTATTGTCTCATGAAAACGACGATTCACGAACTAATGTATCCCAGCTGGGTACCCCGAAGCACACGCCTCGCTTGTACCCTAGGCATAAACGAGACCAACCCACTCCACTCCTGTTGAGGGGTCCAGGTCCCCGTCCAAACTTGGACTTCAAGCCCCCACACTTGAGACCCAGTCTTAGCATGGTGCTTAGACCTCCACCTTTCCCCGCCTCCAATCAGTCGGTCTAGAAAGAGCCGAAACCCACGACAAGAGCGCAACGAGCCTTCCCGCTCCCATAAGCAAGTATGTGCTCAGGATAATAAGTCTATGACCTGACTACCATCCACAGCAACGGATGGTCCTCAATCGACACGGACAGGGAAAACAGTGTAACCAAGCTAAGCCCCATGGCCGCGAGACACAACTTGTTATGCCCACCAACAACTCATGCCATATCCCTACCCGGTCTCTATTTTCTCTTCATCATTTTTATTATGAAAGTAATAATAATCATCTATTATGAGTAACGGTAGGTTACTCACGCTACCGACAACCTAAGCATAGCAGCTACTCGAACCTACACTAGTAGGACTCTTAGGATGAATATATATATGCATGTGGTTTCTATAGAATTCCTATAACGTAAATGCACATCACATATATTTATGGTGATTATCAAAAATAAGGGTTATGCACCGGGACTTTCCTTGGGCAGGCACGGTGTTAGCTAAGTCAGTCAGTAGTAGCTCTGGGACCTCCTCCTGCACGAGAATCTTCTCCTCATACTCCTCGATGATCTCCTCGAACTCGGGCTCATCGGCGGTCACGATCTCCGCCAACTCGTTCTCTATATGCATGTGATGATGATGATGCAACAATTCAGTATTTAGGCAACAACAACTCTTAAAATAAGAATACACATGTTAAGCTACTAAGCTAGCTCTAATGACTAGGATACTAAGCTAACTATTATCTTCATCAAGCAAGATATTGAGTTCAACTAACAAGCACCTAGTTTCGCAATTCAATGGTATGTCTTTATTTCTATTAAAGATTTAATGTATATTTAAACATACAACATTTAACTACCCTAACGTTTAGTCCAGTCTAAGGCCATAAAATTATAGTGAGCACATAATAATACAATGAACCTACTGTAAAATTTTTAGGATTAAAGCTATCACCAAATTACCACAAAAATTCCTACAATAATTACCTTAATAATATTAAGCACTTTCAAATGATTTAATAGCCTTTAGTATCAACATAGATATGTATAAACTAACTACACTATCAGGTAGACAATGATTTTAGGAACCTAACAAAATTAGTTTCATAATTTGTGGACACCTATACAAATTTATATTAATTATAATTATATAAATCTAGCTCAGAAATTAAAATAGAAAGCTATTACCTATTTCTAAGAAAAAGAAAAATCAAAACCGACCTCGCGGCCCACAAACGCGCGGACCGCGCGCGTCGGCCGGCCCATCAACGTGGTCCAAGAGGAAAACCCGCGCGGGCGCGGCTCTTTTGCAAAAGAGACCCTAACCTCTTCACTTAACCCCTAGTCTTCC